CGCCCTTGCCGTGCAGCAGCTCGACGATGGGCAGGAAGGTTACCGGCATGTCCGAAGGCGAAGTCTGATCAGGGGATATGTGCGCAACGAGCTGTCCGAGAACACGAATCACTCGCAGGCCAAGGCTGTGAATGCTCCACGTTTCAGAGGAAAGCAGAAACAAGGCCCCGGCCTCAATTTGACCGCACAGCTGTTCGATCGTCTGTTCGTCCTCAGCCAGAGATTCGACCGATTGCTTGACCATGTCTTGGATCCAAGAGTCGACCAAACCAGCCCAAAGGTTGAGCACAGTGGGTGAACTGACGAAAATAGTGGTCCCAGAGCCCTGCTGCGCGATTCGCGCAGGATCAAACAAGAAGAGAGACGATCGCCCAAGCACAACAGCTGCAGCGGTCCGGTCATCCATGAATCGCCGCAGCGCAGCCGTCGAGACCTCCCCAAGCAATGGCTCGACATGAATTACGCCCCGAATGAGCATATCGACGGCGTCTGCCATGTCAAGGCTCGAATGCAGGCACCGAGGCCATGCCTGGAAACAGGATTGGAGCAGTCCGATCTGCGGGACGAGGCTCATCGGATACGCGACTGTCCCTCCCTCGGGGTGTCGTCGAACGATGAAGTTGTGCGACTCCTCGTACGCAGGGTTGAGCCTCCACTGCTCGTCAAAGATGGACATGTGACCGATGGCGCTGGCACACGATGCGGCGATCAGTCCAACGACCTTCCCACACCGGTCAAACAGGTCTTGGATCCCGGGCTTGGATAGTAATGTCGGTGGAACAAAAGCAGACGAAGTCGGATAATCATCCGGAGAAGGATAAACCGAAAAGTCCACCAAGCTTGGCCATGTCGGAGTCTGGAGATCCTTTTCGATAGCGTGCAAAGAAAGCAAGATCGCCTGTATTGAAATGGCAGTGCGCTCCGGGCCCATCTGGCTAGTCAGACCCCCTGCTTGGATGATGGCCGACTCCTGCATCAGTTCCAGACACAGATCCCGTCCGAATTCAAAGTGTCGGGAGAGCGCAAAATGGACCATGTACACAAACGGTTCGACGCGGTGGTTCTCTGAGGGTGTCACGATCTGCCGTCCAGCAGGAAAGAAATGCCTAAACAGAGTATCCAGCTTTGTTTGCGTTGTCGACGCAGATTCCTGGCACCGGTATAGATAAGTCCACACGAGCCGGAGCATGCCATTCAGAACGGCTGTACGATACCCCTTCTCCTGTCAGATATTTTAGCAAACTGATCATCCTAAACCAAGTTTACTGCATACCTTGAGCCTGGGCAGAGACGTCTCGAAGCAGGAAACCCAGTTCTTGAGAAAGTAGGCCTGTGGCGCGATGCACAGTGAGGTGATGACCAGAGGAAAGGCTGCATGCCAATAACGAGGCTTGGACATCATCTCCTTGGCTTTCGGGTGAATCATCTCAATGGCTTTGGCCCATTGTGGATTGTTCGTCTCAGCTTGAGCGGTCTGTAGATGATAATGAACACAGGATTGGAATAACACCGGCTGCACATACTTTGCTGATAGGATGTAAGATTCTTGTCAACGCCTCCGCAAACGCTGTCTTCAATCGGAAGCCATGCGCTTGGACGAAGGACTTGGCTAGGGATTCCAGGAACTCGGCACCTTCTTCGAAAGCTTCCGGCGGCCAAACCTGCAAGGTTTCAGTATCTGGCAGCAGTCAATGAACAGGCAGCCATACCTTGATTTGGATATGATTGATCCCCTTGACAAGGTTTTCATACTTCATCTCAAGGTCCCGGGGCACTTGCCCATTGGCGACTGGTCCAAGCTCGGCTAGAAAGCGATCGGTTACTGAAACGAATCTAGAATGCCAATTGTCAGTGCGACTAATGAACCCATGTCCGGTGAGCGTACCGAATATTTGCCAGATGGCCAAGGAGTGTCGCATACAACTCGGCGTTGATGCGATGGTTGGCAGACTGCGAGAGGAGCTTCAGATCTGGTTTTCTGAACTGTTCGAACGTTGTCTCCTCCAAGCTATATCCCAGACTTTCTCCGAGCGCGTCTTTCGATATGGTCTGCAACACGGCGATCAAGGCCCTGCACATGACATAGATGGACGCCAACGACTTCCTCTCATGCAAGAGGGCCGGGATGTCAGCATTTCGGCCGCGAGATGGACCAGGGGAAGAAGCCACATGGAATCGAATCGCGTCAGAGGGGATATTCTCCGATTGACTGCGTCGCCAGCGCATAATGGAATCCACCACAGGCTTGGGGTGCTTCTGCGCGATCTTTCCAAGGGAGTTGAGGATATCATCTAGTTTGGGATCTATTCCGGGCCCCATCAAGTCCACCAGTAGTGGCTCCTGGTCCTGTATTCAGCTAGATTAGATGCATGAGGGCGCTATGGCAGCTGATGACGCCCACCATAGATTCCTGGAGAAACATGTCAATCTTCGACTCGCACGACGCGGCAAACCGAATGAAGACGGCATGCAGGGCGTAGTCAGACGGCGTCTTGGGATCTATGACAACCTTATCATCGTCAAAGTCAGGCGTCTCACTCCGCGGAGCGAATCCGAATGCATTTGGCATCCTGGGAACGGGAGGCGGAGAGGAGGAAGAGAAGCCATGCGTGTGGCCGTGGTCGCTGCCGCCGTCCGAGTACTGGAAGATGGACCCAGTCTGCGAGTGCTGCGATTTGGCATATCCATGCGACTTGGACCGCGTTGGACGTCGAGCATCTCCTGATCCGGGCGTCGGAGGTCTGATAAACGACGAATTGGCAGTCGACGGTCCGCGCGACTGGTTCAGTGAAGTGGTGGAACGATTGAACGGGTTTTTGAGCACAGGATACGCCTGGTGGTCGATGTGGGGAACAGGAGGGGGATCGCTCGACTTTGCTGCACTCTTGAAAGCGGCGCGGATTGACGCGAACGACGTCTTCTTCGTGAAACCCGTCGGCGCCGCAATGGAGGATTGGGCAGAGTGCGCGAACGGAGTAGACGACTTCGCGGTGAAACGGGTCGTAATCGAATGCCCCGAGTCTTCTGACGCGACTGAGTCGCCTCTTGAATGCGAGGGCAGGAAAGCTCGCTCGAAACCGAGGGTCGGCGTCATGGATGTCGGCGAATCCGAACCAACACTGCTCCCAAATCCACCGAACAAGCCATGGCCACCACCGCCACCAGTTCGCCCAAACGGAGTGGGTGTATTGAACTCCTCCTCATCGAAGTCTGCCAGGATCAGCAAGGCAACTCGGATGGATGTTGCACGGTATGCACACACCTGGGATGGTGATTTGAATACCCTCACCGCCGAGACTCATGGTCGTCTATTGCCAACAAAGCTGTAAGCGCAAGCCAGACGCTGCACTTGACCAGAAGTGCGAGAAAAGAAGCAAAAGGTCGAGGTGCGCTGTGCAAGAGTTACCGTCGTCGAAATAATAATTGGGCCGGGGTTCCAGAACGGCTGCGTGCATGTGCATGATGCATCATTGATGATGGGATCAGGTAGCACGCTATAAAAGAAACGAAAATTTCTCGTGCTTCTTCACCGCACTCTTCTAAGACAGTACCCTGGCCTGATATTAGAAAGGACCAGCGGTGATTCCGATTGCGCAGAGCAACGTGGATGGGTAATAGAACTCGCCAATTATCATATGGTGAAGCGAGTGTCAGACCCATCCCATATGCTCCAAGTAGATTCGCCTGTAGCTTCATCAAGTACATACTACAAATCTATGCATTATCCTGCAACCATCCGCGTAATGACAAGAGTCCGTCTGAATCCTGTCCCTGGTTTCTCGTTGATGTTCCCATGAACGCCACGTCCCCTCCATCCCAGGATTCGAAACGGAAGACGCCCTTCTCACCGGTGCACTCAAGGCCGCCCATCTCGGTCTTCTCGCCCTCTTCCCCGAGCCCCTCGATTCCCACTCCCCCCGCTTGCGACACTTTGCGCTTCTCCAGCTCACGCTCGAGGATCGTCTTGACACGGGTGATCGCTTGAGCTTCTGCGGCAGTCGAGACCGCACCTGATTTGATCAAGTCGGTCTTGTGAGCGAGAATGAGGAGCGCGGGCAGGGTGTGAGACGGGGGAAGCGACATGACCGCGTTGAGAACGAGGTGCAGGTGTCTAACGTTCAATTTCAGAAGGGAACAGCCAAGCGAGCCGAGTAGTGCTCACTCCGCAACAGCAGGGCCATTCCTTGAGATGGTGCTTGCATCGACAACGAAAACGATTGTCTTGGCGTCCGCGACGTGTTCGCTGACTTGGCTGCGGATCCGCGGGTGTCCCGGAATGTCTACCACTGTGAGGGACTTGTTCTCAAGGGCGACAACGGATGCATTGGTTTGGAGCGACGTGTGTGTCGGAAGAGCTTCACGGTACACCAGCTGAGCGCGGTCAGGTTCAGCTCGAGCTCGAGCTGATGGGATAGTCCGCCACGTACCTGGGACAGTATCGCTGTCTTCCCACTATCAGGTGCACCAACAAGAAGCAGTAGTTTGCCGTTCGCTCGAGATTTCCGTCTCGTGAAGAAGACAAGAACTGAATCATTATGAGTGAATTTCCGACTGAGTTGTTGAGGTCCGCACTTCCAAGACACAGAACAGCAAATAAGAGGGACGCGACGAGGAGTGTCTGCGACATCACAAGCGGCACTGTCTCTGGAGTTATAACAGGCGCTGCGCTAGCATCATTTCCGTTCTCCGAGGTCATGGTGGCGATTGATTGAAAGACGCGTCCCACATCAGTGCTGTCATGAAGTTCAATGTACACAATGTCTGCTTCGCACGGGGGACCGAACATCGATTTCTAAGACTTCAGTGACCTCCCCATTGACTGGATCGACTACATGGCTCTATGCTACAACCTCCAGGCCAGGGCCCAGTGTTCTTTACAGCTGACTGAGTGACAGATATACGAATAACGTGACCGAGTCCGTGCGCAGATGGTCCGTGCACGTCCTGGCCCTATATAAACCACCTGCCAAGATCTGGTTCTGCATACTTACCTTGATGGCATAAGCTCCTTCATGGACCTGGGCTTTTGGGCCGTGGGAACACTCCATAGCACGGCGACCCTGTCCATTCAGAGTGGGCCTGCGGTTTGTATGGGCTTCGGCTCATGCACCGTCTCAATATTTTCCTGTTCCGCCACGGCCACTCGGCTAGGCGGGCCTTTTTTTTTTTTTTTTGGCTCCATGTTAGCTCTAACCCTAACCCTATTTACAATCAACATAATGTGCTTTGACCGCTTATTATGGAAACTCTATTGCTGTAAACATCCATCCTCAAGCGGAAGTGTGCGTCATACCCAAGTCAGGTATGTCAGGAAGCTGACTCGTCAAAATCACCCCCAGTGAGGCTCTGGACTGACTATGAGCCGTATGTAACGGAGCTGACTGGTCCGTGCCACGGAACTCGAGCGGTTGGATAAACGGCAGCGTAAATTGTCTCGGTGCTTAGTGACTCCTGGACTCACAACTAGCCGCTCTGAATCCAACCGGAATTGACTATATCGGTCCTATTTCTACGTGGTTTGAATCAATGATCGACCTTCGAGCATCGGACACAACGCGATTGACTCGCTGCTTTCTCATAAGTGATGGATCTGGGATGTGTATGCTTACGCTCTCCGCCCTGCTCCCTCGGGTCTTTGGAACTATACTACCGGCTCCTAGGCTCATTCTTGCGAGGAACGGCGACTTGGCACCACCCAAAATAGGACATTTCCCTCAATGAGTATCCCCGTTGACCAGTTTCGCCGTGTCGAGCTCCATGACTCATGTCTTGTTCGGCTCATTGGTGCTCAGCAGAATTTCCCGTCCGATTCGGTATTGATTACCAACAACCGCTAGGCTTACTCACCGACACCTTGGTCCTTATCAGCTCCTCATAAAAGGCTTGCTATACGAGCAGTGCTTCATCAACCATGTTCTCTCTACCCGAAGGAAAGGCGGCCGCTCTGGACAGTATCTTGGTATGTGTCCAGTGAGCTGTTTCCTGACCGTTCATCAACTCCGGGTCGCAGTCGAATGCTGCTGCGGGCGGCACTCTACCCCCCGTTTTTACGACAATCACGAATGTTGAAGGAACACTCTACAGTCGGTTCGGCGGCGATGTGCCGCAATCGAAACTCGACGAGGAGACCATCTTCTGGATCTGCAGTCAGACGAAATTGATCACTTCGGTTTGTGAGCCAGCTGTATCTCTTTTGGCCAGGGACTCAATCTATGGCGTCAATAGATCGCCGCGTTCCAGCTCATTGAAGCGGGGAAGATTGCCCTGGATACGCCGGTCGAGTGTATCCTGCCCGAGCTATCAGCGCCGATCATCATCACGACCGTGGACGCGAATGGCCGTCCCGATGCGAAGACCAGCAGACCCGCCACAACAAAAATAACAGTCGAGCATCTGCTCACTCACACCAGTGGACTCGATTACAGTCTGGATGGAGTCACCGAGCCTGGCGTTTTCCCGCCTCGAGCATACGCTGATGTCTATGCGTCTGATGACACGAGTGAATTCTTCAACAAGCTCAAGGTGCGCCATTTTCTGAACGCCCGAGATCGTATTGTCATCTGACCCGCAAAAGGGCGCTCTACCGGCCGTTCCTCTCAGGTTCGAGCCTGGCACGCAATGTGAGTCACTCCCGGCGGAGAATTTGGTGGCACTCACCGATTTCTTCCAGTCGCGTACGGCTGGTCGAGTGACTGTCTGGGATTCCTGATCGAGCGTGTTTCCGGCCAATCTTTGGACCAATACTTGCAAGTCTCCTCTCGCTGACTTGGCGCGTCAGCTAGAACTCATTCTCACCAGCAAAGAGCATATATTCGAGCCCCTCGGCATCTCGACTGCGTCGTTCCATCTAACACCGGAGACTAAGGCTAGACTGCTCCCTCTTCACCAACGCAATTCGGAGGGGGCCATTGTCCCGTGGCCCGGAGCGCATCCAATGCCTCAAGATCCAGCAGAAAGTACGCATGAAGATAATCTTGGTCGCGATACCAGAGGCTGAATTGTCGTAGCAAAACTATTCTTTGGTGGAATAGGGCTGTATGCCTCTCAGAAAGACTACCTTACCGTCTTGCGCCATCTGCTCCAGATCCACAGTGCGTGCATTTCGCTCCGGACAGTTCGCTCTGGTTGATCCCCCTCCAGGTGATAAAGCTGCAAAGCCACTCATCTCGCGAAAATCGCTCAGTCTGTTGATTTCGCCGGCCATGCCTGCCTCCGCACTGCCGCAGATGTTGGGCCTGCCCGCGTTTACCAGTCCGTACATTGGCATACCCGAGGGTTCAGCGGTCTTCGGCCGCGGTGTTTTCGTCATGACAGAAGATGTCCCCGGTCACAGGAAGAAGGGATCTGCTGCTTGTGAGTGCACAACGTCCTTCTGGCCATGGGCCGCCTCTGATTAAGATGAACAGGGGGCGGATGGGCTAACACCTCATACTGGTTCGATGTTGAAACTGGAGTCGCGGCTGTGGTAGGGACCCAGCTGCTGCCGGGGATAGACGAACCCTTTCATCGGCTGTACGCTGAGATTGAGGCAGCAGTCTATGCATAGATAATAAACATGTGCCCAACTGGTCCATACCAACTATGTCTTGCGTCGCTTTGTTCTCGGCTTCAACGGCGAGTCCTGCTCCTCGCTTGTCCGCTTGCGCGGGATCGGTGTCGCTGGTGGGGTGGGAAGCGAGCTGATATCGGCTTCCTTCGGTGCTACGAGGCCATACGAGGCGAACGCTTTCAGGTCGGACGTGAAAAGAATCTGCGAATGCGGATTGTAGATCCCTGCGCATCGACTATGCCGAGCAGAACTCACCGAGTGCGCCCATCCGGCATAGTCTCCCCAAACGGCAGCCAGCTTTCCGTTGATGTCTTCGTATAGTTTGGGTGTCATGGCCGTCTTTCCCGATAACGAACCTTTCAGTCCGTAGTATTTGATAGCAATCTGGTGCACGTGGGTGTCCACCGGTATCACCTCTCTCTGAAAAGGGATTCCATTGAGCTTTCTACAGCCAACCACGCAGCTGACGGACCTACCTTGTCCAAGCTCATAAGTAGGATGCAATCCGCGACTTTGCGTCCGACCCCCATGAACTTGAGGAGCTCCTCCCTCGCACTGTCTGTATCAGCATCTCTGAGCCCCCTCAAGAACTTCTCGGCCGATTCTGAAGACCCGTGCGTCTCCATCAACATTTGCGCCGTGCGTTGAATAAACTTTGCGCGGTAGCCGAAACCCAGTCCGCGCAGCACACCTTCGACTTCAGGCGCGGCAAGCACGGCCGGAGACGGAAAAGGATGGTATGTCACCTCCTTTTCCGTCTCTTGTAGATCTGGGAGCGAGAGTAGCGGCGGAGAGTAATGTCGACAGAGATTTTGGACCATTTTCGTTATTCGGCCGATGTTGTTGTTCGAGGAGCAGATAAATCTGGCCATTTTCTCGGGAAATTCGATCGAGGATGCAAGAATCACTCACGAGATCAGGTTTTCGAAAGGATCCTGTATTAAAGATATCAGCTTAGTACTTACTCATTCTAGCACGACTAACCTGTCTCAACATGCGTATCCCTAGCATTCGACATGAGTAAGTAATACAGTAGATTCGGAACGCGTTGGGACGCACCTGGGAAGCGCATCTCCATCGAGGAGAACACCTTGTCTCGAGTGGCCCACTCCCCATACAGCTTCTCCAGATCCACGTCCAGCTGGAAGTACTCGTTGAGCCATAGCAGCGTCTCGGCCTGTCGTAAGGGCAGCTGCAACGAGGACGGCTGCGGGTCCGGAAAGATCGCGCGGTAGAAGAGAGTCGACGCGTCCTGCTTGAGACATATCACGCGATCACGCAGGCAGAGATGATATTCTTGTGGCTGTTGGCTGGAATGCGTGCCGGACGCAAGCCAGCGAAATGACTGTCCGCATTTTAATACTGCGGAGAGGCACAGTTGGGTCTGTGGGAGCGCGAGACTTGACCACATCGAAGAGGGAGCAGAGAGATGGGTCCAATGCATAGCCACGTCCCCAGATCGACACGCGATTATGTAACTCCCATTTGCAGCACACTCTGAACCTGTAGTGCTCGGCCCTGAGCAGCAAAGAATTAAACAAAGTGCTGTTGAGAGTTGCGGCTCTGAAGAGTAGTTTCAGCGCCTGGATAGCTTTCTAATATCCATAATCTAGACCGGTGGGTGATAGTGCGAACTCGTCACCATCACGAGACGTGACATGGCGCGTTCGGCTCTTCTGGCTTTCACGCGACGTCTGGCCCTCTCTTGGCAAATCACGCGAGGAACCCTGTGTATCGGTTACAGTACCTGTATCAGCCTCTGAATTTTGAAACTCAGAATTCTTTCGAGGATGACTCTGCTCCCGGTCGCATCCAACTTTTGGTCGTCAGCGGCATTCAGTGAAAGCACTGTACTTGTGATGACTCCCGCAAAGACTGTGCTTCAGAACACGGAGATAGGCATCTTTTTCAGGAACAACAAGATGTGTGGCTTCCTTGCACTGAATGTAGATTCGTGATTTTGATCCGGAACGCATAGTCCACTGACCCCACGGCTTGAGCTGCAGTCCCTGTTACTGCGAGGCCAAGCAGTCGGAGACGTATGATGAACCTCAGAGTCATGTAATGTAGTTTAGCAGCCGTTTCATCTCAGTGATATGTGTATGATCCAAAGGCTATGGCATTGCACAGCCTCAGCGGGTGTGATAGAGTAGCATCCTCATAGTGAACACTCATCTTCCGCCAAATGAAGTCTTAGTCCAGCCCTCCATGGCGACTCTTTCTTGGCTCGATGTCAATTGAATGATCGCGTCCCGCATCTATATGAACCTGTAGCCTCACCGGCCAAGGCCCCCACTCGACGCCCCAGCTCAGAAACCACTATGACCGCTCCAGAGAAATCAACGCCCTATTCGGGACCGGCGGTCGCTCAGCAACCTCAAGCGCCAGAATACGCACCTATGCCTGCGCCCTCGCCGCCGACATACGCGCAGCCCACCTATGAATCTGTCCTGACACCTCCCCCAATGGCCACCCCTCAGCTCAGTGCCGGCCCGACGATGACCCCAGCTGAGATCGGAGAGCAGTATCGAGCGGGACGTGCGTGGCTTTGCTGAGCGTTCCGACTGATGTTGAACGTTGCGTACAGTGTACGCCCAGTGTGCACAAGGAGTCCACCAGCCCACTACGAAATATGGTGGGAGTCGATTTGAGAGGTGATATATGCACGTGTATTCTAAAAATCCGGCAGGCGTTTGCGGTATCATCACCGCAGTCGTGTGTTTCCCCATCGGACTTATCTGCTTGTTGTACGTGGAGAGACACGCCTTCCCGCGAAGATCCTAATCGAACAAACAGCTCGGACTCTGAACAAAAATGCGATCGTTGTGGGGTCAAATTATCCTGATCGAGTACACAAGTAGCAGCAATCGCAATGATTAGCATGGTAAAAATATGGTCACACTGATCTCCCTCAACATGCATGTCCTTGACATTCGACACAAGTAAGCAGTGCATCACCTCTGGGATGGTTTTGGCGCACATGGAAAGCGCACCTCAATCGAGCAGAGCATTTCGTCTCGGGCGGCCCCTTCCTCATGCAGCTTCTTCAGATCTACTTCCAGGTGGAAGCACTCGTTCAGCCATATAAGGGTCTCGGTTTGCCACAAGCACAGCTGAAAAGATGCTCTGAAGAGCGGTGGCGGCACCTCAATCATCCCATAATATCAGTAGCTTGGACCAGCCAGGTAGTTTCTCGTCACAGCCACGAGACGCGACATTGTGCGCTGGCCCTTTCTTGCGTTTACGAGACTCCCTCTGCTGCCTCTTGGCAAATCACGCAAAGTCGGTGCTGGAAATCACCGATAGCACTTGGCTTGATCTCTGGAACGCATGGCCTCCAGTAGTGGCTCTATGCTCTTGTCGCATCCTTCCGATCGAGGGTCGTAGGTGGTGCTGTTGGTTATCGCGCCCAATAATCTGCGGCGCGTGATACACCTCCAGCCTCAGACTTGTTGTATGCAACGCCGCAGCCGTCTTCTATATGACATATGTATCATCCAGGCCGCCACCTCGCACAGGTTTGGACACGGCCCGAATACTGCGGGGAAGTGATCACAGCATAGCCTCCCAGACCTATTTTGAAATCTCCTGTCAGATGAAGCTGGCCGTCCATGGCGATGCTACCCAAGCGAAATGTCAATCCAATGATCGCAGGTCGCAGGAATATAAAGCTATACATACCGCGCCTGCCCAGGCTCCCCACTCGCCACCCCTACCCGATGATCGCCGAGAAAGTGGTGCTAGCTGCAGAACCTACGCACGCACAGGACCCCCAAGCGACAGAGTATCCGCCTTTGACTGCGCCTTCGCCTCCGACATACGCGCAGCCGACCTATGAATCTGTCCTGACACCTCCTCCAATGGCCACCCCTCAGCTCAGTGCCGGCCCGAACATGACTGCATTTGAGATCGGAGAGCGGTATCGAGCGGAATGTACGTCGTTTTGCTGGGCGTCCAGAATGTCGCTGAATGCCGCATGCAGTGTACGCCCAGTGTGCCCAAGGCATCCACCAGCCATCTAGGAAATACGGTAAGAGACGAATCGGGCTGTAATGTGGATATATGCTGAAGATTCTGCAGGCGTTTGCGGTATCATCTCGGCGGTCTTGCTATTCCCCGTCGGACTCATTTGCTTGTTGTACGTGAAGGACCGTTTCTTTTCGTCGAGGTTACATCTGACTGACAAATGAATAGCTCGGACTCTGAAAAAAAATGCGATCGCTGTGCGGCCAAATTGTCCTGACCGCGGACACGAGCAGTACTAGTAGTGGTAGTGGTAGTAGCAATAATAGCAGGGGTTAGCATAGCGCAATTTATGTACTGTATGTATATGATTGAAATCGAGACATGCAGGCAAGATCAGCAAATACAAGACAAGATGAGATACAAATGAAATATACAGCAAAATATGGAAAGGTGTGCAGCAAATCGAGGAGTGCTTACTCCGAGTCGACCTCCATGGGCCCCACAGTGCGACTGATGAGCGAGTCCTTGATCCAGTCCCAAGAAACAACGCTCAGATCATCAGGCACTCCGCGCGGAAGTGTGCCGGTGATGCTGACGACGTAGTCGAATTCATCATATTCCGCCTTGACGTACTTCGCGTCGCGCACGACTTCGACGTAGGACGCCCCCGAGGCGAGCAGGATGTGAGGCAGATCTTTGTGGACATGGTTGTCCCGGAACACCTCCGATGCGACGCACAGAACGCGTTGATCGGCAAAGACCTTGAACGCCACTGGGTTGCTCATGATCTGCTTGAACTGTCGTCCCGCGGCATTCCATTCTGGATCCACAACCTGCGTGACTGAACATCCAAACATCTCCGATAGACCGGCAGGGAGCAGATATTTGGTCCACACGTCGAAGCTTCGTGCGTCCACGATTGCCTCTATGACGTCCACGTGCAGACACGGGACCCCCAGAGCAAGTGCGAACATGTATTTCGACGACGCCACCGCTTGCTCGGACAGGACAAACAATCTGTTTCCGAGGGGGATATTGGGAGATATTTGCTGCTGCTGGAGCACGATGCGGTTTGGCTTCCTGTCCTCTGTAATTGCAATCACTTCCGGCCATTCGGCACACACTGTGCCCCCCTGTTCCCATATCACATCCGAGATCTTCTTCTTCTTGACGTCGTCGACGAGCGTAAAAAGAAAAACGCAGCCAGCAAAACAGGACGCTTGCTTGGCTGACACTTGGCAGAATTTGAGTTCATCCGCATCGACAGAACGTCGCGAATCGTAGACAACTGCGTCGATGTGAACCATGGCCATCGGCACATCAAGCTGCTTCCCGCTCGCCACCATCCGAACAGGAACTGTTTCGGCGTCGCTTTGGACTGTCGCGAGCGCGATCGCTGCCGCGTGTTTCGTCGTGACGAGAATGCGCTCGCCTTTACGGATCTGGAACAGCCGCATCTGCCGGAGACCAATGCAGCACTCCTTTCCATCCGCGAAGCGTATCTTATATTTGCCCTCCTTCGATGGACATAACACCCGCGCGACATAGTAGAAGCTGGTCTGGAACCAGAAGGTGAATATGGCAGTGCCGGCTGAGAGATCGGTCAATTCGTTGGATGGGCTCGACTCTGTGCGGGCTCGCTTCTTGGTTCGAGAAGCAGAGACACTCTTCGGAGGAGCTGGGCTTTGAGCACCTGCAAAGCGTTTGCGCTTCTTGCTAGGGCCTGCAGCGAACTCTACATCATCATCATCGTCGTCGTCGTCGTCATCCTCAGCACGAGAGCTTTTGGTCACGTTTCTCTTCGGCCTCCCAGAGCTTTTCGGCGTAGCTTTCGCTTTGCACTGGCCACGCTGTTGATTCTCGCTCTTTTTGGCAGACGCAGATGTGACCTGCTAAGGTTGAGCAAAAGTCGTCCACAGCTCCGACAGATCGGGCACCTTAGTCTTTCTCGAAACCGACACCTTGCCTTTCCCCTTCGCCTTTCCCTTTCCCTTGCCTTTCAGCTCTGCGTTGTCCTCGAAAACCGAGGCCAATGGCATTTCCGGTTCCTCTTCTTCAACGTCGTCATCGCAATCGTCACCCTGCTGCTGTTCCTCCTCTTCCTCTTCCTCCTCTCGCACCCTTTCTTTCGTCAAGGCAGATGTTCTCCGAGCAGCGGCTTCCGAGTCAGAGTCTGGTTCGGTGTCTGAATTTGGTCCTGACTGGGCCTGAGGTGGTGCTGAAGCTCCCAAGTCGCGAGCTCTGGCCACGACTTGAGCCGTCGCACCGTACCTCTCTCGTTTCCCAGCGGCTAGAGAGTCGAGAAGAGAGCGAGGGCGAGGGTTCACGGAGGCTCGAGGTTTGAGTTCATCTGCTTCGGAATCCCACGGTTGAGTAGCCTGCCGATCAGCCGCCGCATTCTCCTCGGTATATCCCGACAAGTACTGGGTGGGCAGACAGCCACGCCGAATCTGGGCAACCTCGACGACTTGAGTGGGCTCTGGTTCCGTCGACCGTCGATCGTACATGTGCAAATAGCTTGAAGATGGAGAACTGGTCTGATAGCTGTTCGACTCCTGGCTGGGCCCGTGCTGTGTAACTAGCTGAGTCTTCTCGTGCGTCTCTTCCGGCTGAGTCTCCAGGTGCTCCTGAGAGCCGGAAGGCGAGCCACTGGGAGTCGATGCGACGAGGACAGTACCCAAGTTTTGCTTGTCAAGGGCTCGAGAGAAATGACCGGGCCACTCCTCAATCTGCTGATTTCGAGAACGTGCAGCAGAGTTCGGGGTGCGTAAGCAGCCAGTCGCTCGAGCATTGCCATCGGTCGTCGACATGGGCTGATAAAACTTGAGAAGAGAACCAGCGACGCGACTTGGCCTACCTTGATTCGAGATTGCGGCGAACTGAGTCGAGACGACGGTGGCAAACCACTGTCGATCTGCGGTCCCGTGGAAAAACTCAAAGCGCTCTGTACATTCTCCTTCTGAGACGCATGGCCGCCAACCACATTTCCGTCGTCGTCCATGACTTGAGTCTGAAGAGGGTAGAGGTCAGGGAAGAGGTCCGTGAGCTGATGAGTCCTCAAGGTAGAAGTGTTGTCGCGGACCTCTACATATCCTTCCATCAAATTAGAAGATTCCTGTCCATGTATCGCGTCCTCTTCGAGAGATTTCGTCATGTTCTCGGTGATTCCGTGGACTTGAGATTCCTCCTCACTATCGCGGCCTTAGAGAGAGAGGTTGAACTGGAAATCGAGTCTCGACTCACTCGAAGTCCTGCCTTTTGTACAGCCGTCCCATATCTCCTGCTCCACTCACCCACCACGGCAGCCTGAAGATTGGTAGGGTATTGAAAAGGGTTGACGACGGAGGTTGGTAGAATAGAGATTGAAGACGATATTAGATGGGGTGGCAATGCGTGTCTTCAATCAAGAAAGGAATAGTCAAGAAACAAGTAGTGTTTTGTTCTGAAGTCCAGGCCAAGAGGAGTTTCGCGAGCAATGTACGCGCACGTGACAGTCGCGCCTCATGTCGGCAAGTCCCGCTAGTCTGTCCACCAACTGTCATCCGATCCGCACCCCCTTGTGTGCAATGCCTCCTACTCCGTGGCACAGGCCCGCCTCAAACCTAGACTCAACTCCTTTGCAAGACCCAAGACCAACCATCTCTAAACGCCTAGTGCGAAGCTATAGCAAACCTGCAAAGCCTACTCCCTTGTCACATAAGCAGATCGAGGATCTCATTGCAAAAGCCGACGCGAAGACACAGCGAGTGGACATCAGCGAACCATGGACGGCAGTTCCGAACCCCGTTCCTGATACTGGAGTTCCCACAACTGCACAGCGTGAAGCGGAAAATTCTCCGACGACTACAGTGCCATCTAGTTCCAGCACTGTCTCAACTGCAACACACTCTAGCCTCGTCTTACCCCTTACAACTCTACCCCCGATCCGCTCTCTGGGTCTCGCTTCGAGTCCGGTCGCTTCCTCGCCCAATGCTACATCAAGCGCTGCTTGGAAACATCGACAGGCAACAGTGCCTTCACATGGACTCTCTGTCGGCGCCATCTCTCTGATCGCTGTTGCCGGAGCGTTTCTATTTCTCTCGCTATTCGTCTTCATCAAGTTGTGCTCTCGTCCTGCTCGAAAACCTCGACCGGTACCTTCCAGACCTATTCTGGACGCACGTTTCTCCGAGGAGGACGAAAAGGACCTCGGGAAGCCGGAGGAATCGCCCGTGTTCGGTGGGAAGGAGCGCATGTCTGAACGACCGGAGAACAGCGGCATCTGGAACTGGACGCAATATCCGACCTCAGGAACCACCAATGTGACCAGCACCGTTGTGCCTAGTGTCGTGGCCGAATCCCAACGTATGAACGAGAAGAATGCGCATCCCGGGGATTCTGCAGAGCGATGTCAGCCTAGCAACTATCCTCTCCAGGCCCAAAATGCTTTGAGCCGGGCTGCCAGCCGATTCTCCGTCTCTTCAGCCTCGATCTACCCTGCTTCGCAACTGGTGACTTCCTTTACAGCTGATGGACATCCCGTTCTCGAACGTATAAGTTCAGCTAAGGTGCTCAAACGCAGCCGAAGCAGTACGCTTGGGGATCGTCCCAGGGAGCCCTCGCAATCCCGGAGCACGCGGTATTCCACGGGGTTGGCATATGATGGGGCGCAAGTCACTTCCCCACGTCTCACAGTCCCCAGTCCGATCCTTCCCGTGGCTAGCACTCCGGCGGGGCGCACACCGATCAAGTCGTCGTACTATTCGCATCCACGTTCATCCTCAATGCCTCGGAGCAAGGGCCTGGAAGCCGGCCACAGTCACAAACCCAGTACATCTCGGCCTATGAAGACGCTGCCTGATTCGCCTGCCACAATCTACCCTAGCTCCCCCCAGCCCACGCTATTCCCAGACGACTCTCTCAGCGTTGTCGTGACGAAAAAACAGCCATTCAAGAATGTTCACAAGAAGCCTGCTCCCAGCAGCAACCGAATGAGCCGGGCCGTGGCCCCTGCCGAAGCTTCGACCGCTCTGGGGAGCCTGATGCTGGTCGATTACGAAACTACAGCCGACAAGCGGGCAGATGACAAGCCCCCTCGCGTGCCTTCGCCTCCGCCGTTGCCTTCTCTTGCCCAAATGGGCTTGGAGCATGTCAATCCAGACGCCTACGCCGACTACCGCAGCCCCACATACAGCATTTGCAATTTCTATGAGAGCGATAGGAAAAGCCGCAGTAGTTTACACCCCCCAGCCAAGTAGGCACTCAGTAATGTATAGTATATAGATGGGCTGTGTGTGTTCTGACATGTGATGATGGTTGATCGACAATCTTGGGATAGATACACACATAAAGCGCAGCAACTTTCCTTTCAGCTACGCCCTGTCATGCCCACTCCCACTCGTCCTGCGACGTCGCTGCTCCTCAACATATCCGACAACGCGCGTCCGGACAGCGACAAGGACCAGGACCTGGGCCTAGGCAATGATTCCACAGTCGCTGTTCCTGCGCTGTGGGGGATACCCCTCAAATACCTATCGTATGCTTCGTTCATCGACTGCCGTGCAGACTGACCGAATCTCCACACCAGCCTGGTGACCCTGGCGGTCCAAAACTCGCTCCTGACTCTGATAATGCACTACTCACGGGTGTCCACGCCTTCGTCGGAAGCCTACTCCCCTGCCACGGCAGTACTCATGAACGAGATGCTCAAGGGGTCTATATCCCTCGTCATTGCATTCGCACGGATAAAAGAGCCGTCGTCGGTGTCGTCTGAGGGCTCCGGCTCGGTGTTGGGCTCGCTGGGCGCGCGCTTAAAGCGATTAGCCGGAGATGTGTTCAGCGCGGATTGTTGGAAGTTGTCGATACCTGCTATCCTTTACGGTGCGTTCTCCCCGTCACTTTTCTCCGAGGCTCCAGGGATTCTCAGACGGGTTTCCTTCCAGTCATCCAGAACAACCTGCAGTTCGTCGCGGTGTCCAACCTGCAGGCCGCCACCTTCCAAGTCAGCTACCAGATGAAAATCTTGACGACCGCGGGCTTCTCGGTCCTCCTACTGCGCAAAAAGCTCACGTCGCCGCAATGGTTCGCGCTGTTCTTCCTGGCCGTCGGTGTCGCCACGGTCCAGATCCAGGCGGGAGGCGGTGCAGAGTCACAGCCCAACGGACACGACATGAACGCGATGAAGGGGTTCCTGGCCGTTGCCACGGCATGCACCACGTCCGGACTGGCGGGTGTGTACTTTGAGATGGTGCTGAAGAACTCGCAGAGCGACCTCTGGGTGCGCAACGTCCAGCTGTCGCTGTTCTCTGTCCTCCCGGCGCTCGCCCCGGTGTTCTATCTGTACGCGTCGAACCCGCAAGATGGAATCATGTCTACGCTGTTCCACAACTTCGGTGCATGGGCCTGGGCGACGGTGTCCGTGCAGGTGTTCGGGGGGCTACTGACGGCGCTCGTGATCAAATACTCGGACAACATCCTCAAGGGCTTCGCGACCAGTCTGAGCATCGTCATCTCCTTCCTCGCATCGGTCGCGCTGTTCAACTTCGAGATCACGTTCAGCTTCATCGTCGGTTCCTTCATCGTGCTGGTCGCCACGTGGCTATACAACCACCAGCCGAAGCGGGCGGAGAGTATTTCTTGGGCCTTGGGTTGGCCGGAAAAGTGGCGAGCAGCCAGCTCGTTGCGGTCTCCGGCTGTGGTACCGAACCAGTCGCTGTTGTCGTCGACCTTCAGTTCGCGGTCGTCGTCAGCTATCTCTCTGAACACGTTGGGCGGTGGCAGATCGTCCTTCGATGACAGCAAGGACTCCTTACTATTCTCGCGATAATCGACGACGGGTACTTATACCAAATAAGTAATTCACGGACTAATGCATGTAGATACCACATAACCACGCTCTCTCCTTTCGGTCAAATGGGAATTAGATGCTGCGACTCGCATTCAACTGCTTGCTCGCGACTCCAGCCCCCTCTTGATGGCGTCGCAGGTCTCCTTCGCGTCTCCAAACAACATTTTGGTGTTGGGCATGAAGAACATCGGATTCGGCACGTCGGCTATCGAGATAGGTCAGATCCAGGAGGAGAGCGGCGGGAGGGGCGCCTCATCTTACCATATCCACTCGACATGCCCCGCTTCATGACGACGACTTGCTTACTTTTCCAAGCATGCAGCACGGGCATCCCCTGCAAGTGATTATTCTTTGGTGCAGATCAACGAAGGAGGGACGAAAGACCTACCGCAATGGCCGATCCAGGCTCGAGCGAGATGGGATTGACAGTATCATTCGCTCCAATGACGAGTGTCAGATCCGTGTCCTTGAAATCCTCGTTGATCTCCTCCATCTCCCTGCAGTGCTGATCAGTCGTCTATCTCACCGAGTGGGATGCCTCAAACGACGTACAAGACAATGTCATAGGGAACAGATGCTTCTGCCAGAAGCACATTGCACTGGGGCGTGTGAGAATGGACGATCACACTGACAGAGAGACAGAGCTCACTTGTCCTGGCATCCGCTGCGAGAGATGGAGAGGTCAGTCCAGCTGCGACAGGGGAGTGATTGTCCACGTACTCCGGCGACAGGATGGATAGCAAATCTGACCGTGATGCCTTTGGCTCGCAGCATGGCGCAGATGTCGGCAATGGCATACTGGGCCCGACCAGCAGCCATCCCATACCCTACAACCAGAATGACAGTGTCCGCATTGAGAAGCGCGTCGACAGTGTCATCCACAGAAGTCTTGGTAATCGTCCCCACCGGCATTTCCTGCGTGTCTTGGGCCACGGTGCTGGCACCACCAAACAGGACGTTTGTGAGCGATCTGTTCATCGCCACGCACATAATATACGACAGAATCGAGCCGCTGACGCCGATGAGGGATCCCACTAGAGAAACTCAGGATCTGATAAGGACGCAGGCAAACAAACGACTGGTCACCTGTGGTCAGAAGAGGATTGTCGAGCATAAAGCCTTCTGCAACGAGAGCGAATCCCGAATAAGCGTTGAGCACGGTAATCACAACAGCTGCAGCGGGGTCAGCTGGGATTGGAGAGTAAATGCTCCGGCCGCTAACGCATATCAGCACCCCCGATGGCTGCGGTGGTTGTATAGCCTTTGATGAAGCTAAGGAGCGCGCTAGCCGAGAGAAAGGTCGCTGCAGTCAGTACCGACGTCGGAGCTGCCGCCAAGAAACCAGCCTGAAACTCAAAGTCAGATTTCTTTTACGCCTTCATGAGACCGGACATTCCATGGTGAGCCCATTCAAGCCGAGCAAGGTGCTGTTCACGAGATGTTTCCCGGGGAGTGCCAAAGGCCGCGATGCCATTTTCCCAGCCAATTTGAGGAACGCAACGATGGATCCAGTAAAAGTGATGCCGCCGACTACCACACCGAGCTGACAACCATTCAGCCTCGTGGCAGCGAGCTCAGACTCGACAAACGCACATAACCAGTGACCAGATGCAGCGTCGATATATGAGACGGATCGCTCAGGATGCTACCGATTGAAGTAAGGACAGCCGCCAGTCCAACGACGCTGTGGAGCATGGCCACCATCTGCGGCAACTCTGTAGCAGTGATACGACGGCCGATCACAGCCCCAATGGCCGCTCCGATGCCCGTCACTCCAGCGAACTGTATCAGCACAGGCGCGGGAAATCCAACGGCGGCAAGCGAGGCAAGAATTCCGGATCCCACTCCAAGCATGCCCAATGCATTCCCTGTGATGGGATCCAGTTGTTGACACTCATTGGCTGCTGATACGGGATTAACTTACCCTGCCGCGCAGTGGCCTGAGAAGCGAGGCCAGAAAGGGATCCTGTCGTAGCATTGGAAAACGCACGGATTAGAGTAAAGAGAATGGCATACCAATGCAGAGGACGGATGATGTCAGGTAGCCTGCCTGTACCAATCCAGCCATTCCCGTGCTTGCGGCAACCAAAAATCCACCGGTGAAGACCTGTTCTCGATAAGTAGATGAAGGCACGCATCGCAAAGACAGACTTGCCACCGCGGGAAGGCCATACAGCCACGAGTACTCGGGCGGATCGGTGCTTCGTTTGAACATGTCCAGCATGCGCTAAGACGAGTTGGAACAGCGAACTAGCAGACGCATTAGAGTTCTCACCTTAGTGATGATGAATCCTGTGGTTAGATGTTTGAAACTCAGTGTAGTGCCACGCCGATGAGCAACGTACCTCCCGCAACATTGACACTGGCTAAAAGGACCGATATCGCACCCAGTGCCTGAGGGATGGTCCCTGGCAGATATCCACCGCCCATGACAAACAGGCCCCCGATACCGACCATTCCAGAAATGGCATTCGTAACGCTCTGTTCGGCGTGTCCATACAGCACGGATGCTTGTTGGAAATTTGCTTACCATGAGCGGGGAGTGCAGTGCTGGCGCGACCTGCCAGACGACACGGTAGCCCACGAGTGCAGCAAGACCGAAGGTGAAGAAGTTGTCCATGAACGCAGTACCGGTCGCTTTCCCCAGAGAAATCACTCCCGCCATTCCACCTGTGACCACGGCGACTTCACGCGAAGTCTTCTGCCAAGGCGTTATCGCTACCTTGATCTCCTCGGCTTTGGCGGTGGGAGGGATAGTCGGGATCGGCGGTGGAGCAGGCGCGACTCGAGGCAGTAATTGTCCTTCGTGGGTAACGATGGCCCCCCGCACAACTTCGTCCTCGAGGTTGAGCAAGAACTGACCATCTCCACCGAGGGACAACAGGAATTTGGTCACGTTGTTGGAGTAGAGCACCGACGATTGCGTGGGCAAACGAGACGGTAGATCCGTATACCCTGATTGACAGTCGTGAGCGCGAAGCGGGAAGGGAAATGACGGCCACGCACCGATTATTGAGACACCGTTGTGGACATATAGCTCTCCTGGTTTGGTTGCTTCACAGTTTCCGCCTGCCTCTGCCGCCAGATCCACAACGATTGATCCCGGTTTCATCACGGAAAGAATGTCGTTCGTGATCAGTTTCGGTGCAGGCTTCCCTGGAATGAGAGCCTTCAAAGGGTGAGCTTCTACGAAGGACGTCGAAGATAACGCGTACAGTGGTAATGATTATGTCCACATCTCGTGCTTGCTCCTTGAACAGTGCCTGGAAACGCGTCAGTGGAAGAGAAGGTCGGGTAGAACCATTCCAACCATCTCTGCAGCGATGAATTCTTTCGACATCACTTTCGCGTAACCGCCGCCACCAGATCCATCTTCCTTCATCTCTACTTCGATGAACTCTGCGCCGAGCGACTGCACCTGCTCCCGCGCAGCAGACCGCGTGTCGAACCCGCGCACGATGGCACCCAGCCGCCGGGCCTGCATACATGTCAGGCCTGAATAACGGTGACACTGCGACCCTTCTGCGCACCGTGACAATAGCACTCAGCCCGGCAACGCCAGCGCCGATAACAAGAACCTATTGACCATGAGGGATAGGATGATGGCAGAAATGAAGGAAAGATGGCACCTTTGCCGGCGGGATCTAATGCTCCTTATGTCAGGCTCCGCATCTGCGCACGCGACGCGGGTCGCGACTCACCTTTCCTGCTGCAGTGGTCTGTCCCGTTAAATATCTCCCGAATCTGTTCGACGCCTCTAATACTGCCTTGTAGCCTGCGATGTTGGCCATCGAACTGTGGTCTGGTCTCAGTGGTCGTGCAGTCGGTACCGAGTGCCGCCACAACTCGCCTCAGCGCATCAAACACTTGTGCCCTTGAGATGCGAGGAATCTGCTCCATCGCCAACGCATTGATCTTCCGTGATACGAGGGCATTCACAATGCCTTCGTTTTGCCCTGGGTACAAAAACGACACCAGCGTGCTTCCCTCTTTCATGTTCTCGACTTCCCCGCCCTCCAAGGGCGGGCGCACTTTGAGGAGGATGTCGGTTGCGGCCAATATCTCTTCTTTGGAGGACAAGGTCGCTCCTGCGGCGGTATAGTCCTGCGCGCGGCCGATCAAAGACTGCGTCGGGCCCGCTGAACGGCCGCATGCTCACCGCATCGGAGAATTGAGCTTCGGCACCTGCGATGACGGCGTCAAATCGCACAAGGAAGGAAGTATGGCCAAGATAACCCGTGTCACGAAGAGATGCAACATACCCGCATCTCGCTCAACCAGAAGGCGTCCGAATCCCTTCTTCCTGAGCAAAGTGACATTGCTTGGCGTCAAAGCCACGCGCCGTTCGTTGGGATATCTCTCGCGGAGGGCCCCGACCGTCAGCGAAGCATACGGGGTTCCGCCGGTCGCCGATGTGCTGGCCAATCGATGGTCTTCGTGATGGTTGGTCAGTCAGGTGCGATCATGGAATCTCGTCGCGCGCACTTCGTTTCGGCACCCCCGAGAGAATCCGCGCCGGGAGGCTTGCGCGTGCAATCCTCTTGAGAAACACCATGAGCAAGGTGGGGACGATGCAGCGGCTGATAGGTCAACTGAAGGTGCGATGTACGTATTCGTGTGTAGGGCATAACTAGACAGCAGTCACTAGACCACTAGAAGCGGGAAGCAGCGGTCCGTTCCTAGGTTTCCATCACTCCACTACCCCGAAAAGTGGGGAAAGTGCGGGGTAGTCACACGCTGTCAAGACGAGTGAGCCGCACAATTGTGCAGAAATCAAATGTCTCGGATTGCAGTTGAACAATGGATGGTAGATGAGACCAATTCACTAGAACAGTCTACAATCGCGAAAATAATCAAGTCATCTCTGCTTACGCATCTTGTACGTTACAACTGGGCGCAAAACAGCTACTCCGCGGCAGAGTCCGGCGCTCTCCATGTCGTCAACGACGCACTGCACATCTTTGTAAGCGTCCGGCTGCTCTTCTATCAAAAGATCTGCGTCCTCGCAGATCACGACCGACCCAAGTTGGGTGTGGATCAGGCTCGCTTTGTTCACTTTCTGGCCGCCCGTGTGCAGCACATTGCGCCCGAAGCGACGCCCTGCCCCATGAGCCAAAGAGTGCGCTGAAAATAGATCAGTCAGCCCTTCCGAGTTTTCTATATTTAGAATAGGCCATCACAGACCATTTGCCTGGCCGTCTCCCATGGGCTGCAGTAACCAAGAAAGATGGCCCCGACTTCCGGGACAAGGAACAACACCTTGGTCAGCCGGTGCTGCCCCCTTGCGGTGAACCCACAGCTCGCGAGTGGCCTCGTCCGCAGTCACAGCATGCTTCGATACCGAGTTGTGCGTCACATCGATGATTTTGCGCAGACCCAGCTTCGGGCTGGGCTCTTCTCCCGGGGGCCAGAGACATTCGTTGATTCTGTGGGCAACGAGATCGCGGTTGGCGACGGCCCATCGCACGGCGTAGTCATGCGAGTCGAGATACTCAGCCAAGTGTTGCGATTCGGGCGCAAGGTATGGGTTGTGATTTCCATCGGCAGTTTCTGCGGCAAGGATTGATCCACCCAATCCTCTGGATCCGGTGTGAACTGCAGACCAGTCAGGCGGACTCAAGCTCACGTGAGATTGATCACACACACACCTAGTAGATACAGACCGCCCTCAGCCAGACCCAGTGCATGGCATGCGATCTCATCGACGAATCGTTCAACTGTGCAGAGCTCGGCAAAATGATTCCCGGCACCCACCGTCCCTAAGCAGGGCTCATCGAACTCGGACGCCCGCTCAATCCCGTAGTTGGAGAGCCACGCAGAGACTGAGCCAGGCCACGGCTGCTCGAGACTGTGCAAGGCGGACGCAAGTTTCTCGGGGTTTGACGCCCACTTTGTCCGCGAAGAGAGTTCGTACAATGCGATGCCGCATCCAACATCAGATCCAATGAGAGCAGGGTAGATGCCCTCCGCGGCAATAGCGCAGCCTGGTCACGGCGTTCAAATAGCCCCGAGTCAGATGACGGGAAGACCGCACCGATAGGAAAACGTGAGCCCGGGTGCAAATCCGGCAGTCCCACCGCCAGGCGGATGCCTTTGGAATGGGAGTTATCGATGAATGAAGTAGCAAGAGGGTCATTCGGCCGAACCCACCAGGTGACCTCCCGACTTCTCGTAATTGCTTGACCGCCGCGGGGTCGACGTAGCTCTTCGTGCTGGAAATACGTTAGCCACTTCCAAGTCGGGCTTGTGACTCGAATTCATCTGACCAGAAGACACGCATTGCGGCCGGATTATCATTTGGGGAGCACGGCGCGGGTGGACCGCAGTATGGTTCCCCTTTGCCGATCCAAACTTTGCTGGCCAGCTCCGGCACTGCTTCTGCCGGGGCAAGCGAGACACCGCCAAGCAGAAATACATCCGCTGGCCGAATCTTAAATTTGTTCTTTGCTTCTTTGAGAATCGTGTCTCGGTCACTGGGTGAAACCTCGGATGTTAGGCGAAGGGCAAATCGTTTGTTGTGATTGGAGTTGAGGACCACGGTGATCACTCGTGCAGGCATGGTGAGAGCGGATGAGACAGTTGGGATGGAGGTCCATCGCGAGGACGCTTATCTAGAGAGCGCGGCAGCGCCAGCACAGTCAAGAGTGGTCACTGTTACTAGCGACTCTGACCGCCCGTCACACTCGGTCGGACACCTCGGTCCCGGAGATGCGTCCCGGAGGACCGAAATCAGCATTTATATACAAATTTATTCATTAAATCACTTCGTGGCCCATCTCGTACTGTGAATCTACTGAGTCTTCCCGCTGAATTCCCGCTCGAGCGCGACGACGGCTACTGTGTCCGGGTGCTCCCAGAGGGCTTGCCCAGCCGCAGCAGGGAAGGGGGGCAATGGCTTGCGGGTTGTTCCCCCGTATCCATGCAGCTTCTGCAGCAAAAATTTGGTTCCTGCTATGGAAGCCTTGGCAATCGTGTAGTCGGCGCGCGCGATGATCCCCTGCAGGCGCAGAGCCTCGGGGAGAACGGACAGATCCGTCGTGGCTTGCTCGGAGAGCTCAAATAATTTGCGGATCGCGTGCTGTGATAAGACAGCTGAGGAAGGGGGCAATGCATGGAGAATGAATGACATACGGGTGCGACATTGCCGAGCCCAGTAATGGCACCGTGTCCACTGGCGAATGCGGAAGGAGTGAGGAAATCGATGAAGCCGCCCAAAACGAGGAAAGGTGCCGTCGAGGTCTTCCGAGGGAACTTGGACGAGAAGTCGCTCGCACCGGAAACAGCGGACGCGATTCTGGTCAGCTTCCCTACGTTTCCACATCTGTTCGAGTGGTCAGACAAGGCGAAGGCGACTGATATCTTGTCATGGCGCACGTCAGCTTCACACCACAGATATTCGGACACTCTCTCGCAAGCTCCACGATAACGTCCGAATCGAGATCGATACCTCCGCTGGCGCCAGGATCTGTGTGGACTCGGATCAGATGATATTATCTAGACAAGTCATGCACCCCACGCACAGTTGTAGATCATCACGGGAATGGGACTCTTCTCAGCCACCTCAGTGAAGTAGGCCTTGAGCGCCGCATGGTTGTGACCCCATGCACCGGCGAAATACCCTGATGCGATGACAATAGCATAATCAGCACCCGCAGCGGCAGCCTCCTTGGTGAGCTCATTCGTTTCCCGGGTGCTTCGGCCAGTGTGAGCAGAGAGAAGGAGCATGAGAAGCAACACAGACCTTGCAGCGCCCGTGCCAACAATCATAGGAACCGTCGTCAGCCCAGCCTCGTCCAAAGCCGTTCGTGCAGCGCGGATGAGTGCTACGCGCTCAGCATGCGACAGGTGAATAGCCTCGCCCATGGATCCAGTAATTACAAGACCCATGCCTGCAGAAGCGATTCGAACGACATGGGACTGGAAGGTCGGGATGTCCAGATCCTCAGACTCGGGGAGGAAGAATGAAGGGATGGGTGCAAATACACCAGGGGTCAGCGGCCGAGTGGCAGATGGGTGGACTCCGTTGACGATGGCTGCCATGAGTGGGATGCTTATGTGAGGGTGTGCGGCGGGATATCGAAGGCACTCACCTTACAGCATCGTAGCTCCTGCATATAAATACTGCGAGCGGACCGTAGCATAAGTCGGACCGCCCGGTCCGCTTACATGATATGATCGAAGATGCGGAATATCCGAAAATCAGAGCCGATGTCGCTTCAGACCCTCAGTACCCCGGCCCAGAAGCCAGAGCTGGCCAACTTCAACTTTCGACCAAGAGTATATCAGAAGTAAGATGTAAGACTTACGTCAGGGTAGAATCTCCATCTTCTCCATAACTACACGTTCCCATTCGTGCCACCCGTCTTCGCCTTCTTCCCCGACATCTGCAGCTGCTTTCTCGAATACCTCCCACGGGACACATTCCCGCTCGCCCTCTTCGGCCGCCTCGAGCGCAAACCGACCTTGACGAGAACGACAGAGCGTGACTACATGTCCTGCTGATCCCAACTCATGGGCAAGGTCGTGGACGATCGACCGTACATATGTGCCACTAGAGACACGCATTTTGAGCACAAACACGGGTGGGACATCGCTCTCCGTCTGCTCGGCAGGCGCGGTCTCTTCCGTCAGAGCAACCGTCTCTCCGGCACCACTCAATGCCTTTTCTACCGCGTGCTTCTGATCTTCGGAGAGCGATTTCGTAGGCCAGCGAAAGTCATGCGTGTCCTTCCACTCAACCAGCTCTAAGGAGCTCACAACCGCCTTGCGCGGCTCGATGGGCCGCGGAAGGGGGATGCCTTCCCGAGCATACTCGTACAGCGGCTTCCCGTCCATCTTCAGTGCTGAAAATCTATGGCCGCAGTAAGCATAACACTGCCGAAATGGCATGAAAGAAAGAGCTGAACGAACATTGGCGGAACCTGCTGTATCTCCCCTCGGAACTTCTCCAGCGCCTTCTCGACCGCCTCTTTGGTGACATGTTTCCAAGGCGCGGTTCGGACGCGCGCACCTTCGCTGTCGTACGTATCCGTCTCGCAGCCCAGTAGACACGTCGTTCGATATTCCTATACTCTGCTTTCATATGCGGTACAGCTGTGGGAGAAAATACAGACCTTGGTGCACTCCAGGAACTGCGAGAGCTTCTTCGTGGCTTTTCCGACACCAACCACTGCCCGCACAGATGTCAGTTTTGTACGGAAAGCGATCGGCACTGCTGACGCACCTAACACGCCATCCGCGAGCGGATCGAGAGTACCACCCTGCCCGATCTTGACCTCGCCTCTTGCCCGTGGGTTCACTTTTTTGCCCTTGCCCTTGGCCACCTTGGACGCCTCCACGAAAAGTTTGGATCTTGCTACAAGGATTTTGATGTCGTTGATGACAGCCATCGAAGTCGGGCCTGAAATATGTTGAGATCCTACGAGTGGAATAGGTCGAAGAGCGAACCGGAGGGTTTCACGACGCCAAAAAACGCAGAGACCGGAAAGTTTGTGGTTTCGGCTTTAGGCATCTCGGGGGTGCCAGTGTGAAGATTTCTGAGAGTAGAAGTATGGCGAAGGATACGGGTTGCGCACGTGGCGCGAAAGAAAGCCACAGTGAAAGCCCGAATCGTTGGAACGACCCAGGGCACAGTAGACACAGGAAGATCTCGACCACGTGACTGAGTGCCTTTTGACTTCCCAAATCTTATCATTATCTTTTGTTTGGACATCAATCTTGGCTATGTTTTTTGCGAGCCATCAGGAGCATGTCTCCACGCCTGAGCTTCTCTCTGCTGTGACTTCACATGTGGACTTGGACTCGAGCTTGCGAAGGCGTTTACACCAGGGAATTGGGCTACAACGAATGGTCTTTCTACTACGACTCCCATATCAACGGGACAGCGGACACCCTCTCCCAATTTATGGTGACAACCTCGCAGACTGAAAAGCATCGCTTTGCGCCCGAGTCGATCTCCAGGGCATGGTACCATTTGAAGCGACAGTTTCCTCTGCTCGCTGCAACCGTCTCCTGTCCCACAGCCGAGGGCCCGCCCCAGTTCCGTGTAGCATCCAGCCGGCTCGACACGGTCATTCCGAATGAGATCACATTCGGGAAAGTTGCGTCTGCGGAGGCAGCGAAGGATCTGGGCTACGAAATTATCAATGGCCCTCGTGTCCTCTCGGACGATCTGCTGGGCCGACTGATCGTGATTTCGCAGTCAGGAGAACCCACGACCTTTCATCTCTATCTTCACGTGGCTCATTTGATCACGGACGGTGCGACCAACGCAAGACTTCCAGCCGCGCTCCTGGAGTTGATGTCCGGTGACTTGAAGTACAGTGACTTTGATTTGGAGGCCACATTGGCGATGGCACTCCCCGCCGACGCGCTGGTCCCCGGTCTCAAGTTCAGTCTTGCCAAACAGCGCTGGCGGAATGCTGCCGGCAGAGTCATTTCTGCAATCAGAGAGAGCAAACGAAAGGCAAGAACGCAAGTCCGCGCCCATTTCCAATTGCTGAAGCTGTTTGCAGGGCGGTCAGACTCTGCCGAGACTGTACGGTCCTATCGCAACGCGACTTCCAGCACGTTCAGGTATGGACAGCAAGATCTTTGGTACGAATCTCCAGCCCTCAGCCTATTTCCAGGTCTTCTTGAGCTGTCATTCTCTGCCGATGCCTCTGTTGGCTTCCTTGAGACGCTGAAAGAACAGAATGTCACACTGGGAAATGCACTAGTGGTCCTCGGTCAGGTGGCCCTTGCTCGCCTACTTTCTCGTCGCTATGCTCGGTCTGAGATGTCCCCGGAGGAATGGTCTTTTAGGCGCACACAAGCGACTTACACCGGTGGACCATTGAACCTGCGAGCATTCCTGGACTCGAACTGGGGCCGAAACGGGGGAGTAAATGTCGGAGGAGTCTACGTCGGTTACTTCTTCCTTGCGGCGCCCTTCATCCCGATCGGCAGCGGCGCCTCAGCAGTACCGACACTCTCTTCGTTGATGTCCAAAGCCCAGTTCACGCATCGCTGCAGAGAGTTGAAAGTGCAAGCACAAAGATACTTCAAGCATCCGCTTTTCCTGGAGATTGGAGCAGCGCGTTTCCCTGCGAGAGTGACCGCAATGAAGGAGTGGGCGGAGCAGTGGACTCGCGACCCGAAAAAATACGTCGACGATGCTGAACAGCAGATGGAGCGATGGAACTCGCTTTCAGCAGAAGGACAAGCTCAACATCAGGGCAGTGTTTTGAGCTTTGCGTGGTCCACATTTGCCTCTGTACGTCATTTTCAGACATGTCTCCGTGCGCTTGTAACGCCTATCCCCAGCGAGACGCGCCGTCCAACTTCCCTCTCGGCGCAGAGACACCGCGCTTGCAGCTGAAAGAGAGCATGAGCCGCCTGCATTGTCGGACAGGAGAGCTGTATCTGAGTGCCGGGGTCGTTCGAGACTGCTTCCGACTGGTTCTCTTCTACGACGAGAACGTGTTCATGGAGGAAACGACGCGTGAGTGGATAAACGAGATCTCGGAGGCGATGCACTTTTATTTGGGCAAAGACAACAAAAGCAAGCTGTAGAACTTATTGGGTACCTGCTAGCCACATGCCTCCGCAGATACAGTGTTTGCTCCAAACGTGTTCCCACGCTTTCCAGGCATCGGATGCGTGCTGGGCGGTGCTACGAGCTGCTTCGGAGCGCCCACCGCATCGAACGCACGTCAGCCCGCGGGTCCGAGCGCCAGGTAAGGCAGTTTTGGTGACAATGTCTCTGACTCGTTCCTTGCGGACATCCCCTCCATCCTCCATCAGTTCATGTCGCTGAACAAACAGTCGGGTTTTGTCCACGATCGTCTGCGAGGCCAATTTGTGTGCGGCCATTTGAAGATGCGAATGCATCGAGGGGGTCGCCTCGCAGAAGGCCAGACACCGGAGCGATTCGTCGTCTGGAACAGTCGACTGCGTTTCAGCAAGCAACTCCTTGACAAGCACCTCCAGTTTGGACACATCTACACCAGAGCACACCAGCACGTCGTTCAGAACGTTCTGAGCCATTTGAGAATTTTCGTCCACTGCACGCAGCGAGGTGATTTTGGTCTTGAATTGGATGACATCCGAAAGCACAGTGTGCAAGCAAGCCAGGGTGTAGGCATGCCCGAGGTACCAGGGAACAGCGGGGCTCTCGGCAGCAGCCACAGCAAGCACGCAGTCTTTCAAAAGCTGCTCCACGAAGCTTACGACCCACGCAGAAAGACTGACCAGCTGCCATACAGCATCTGTCAATACCGGTTAGTTCTGCGCGGGTCACCGGAGTAACATCCTAACCAAGATCAAAGGCACCATCCACTCGACAATCCTCGAAGGCTGTCTTGCACGAGGCAAGGGAACACACATCAAGCGCTGTGTGCCAGCGGATGCCCAATCGCTCGCTCTCAGACACGTTTTGGATGGCGCGAGATCTGTGAGCTTCAGTTTAGCCGATGCCCATCTGGGGAATGATGGTTAGATACCTGTAGGTCTCCAGGACCAGCCCCAAACCACGGCGGATCAGGGTTCCCTTGTCTTGGCCGTTATTGACCATCTTGAAAGCAGCATGCAGCGTCTGACCAACAACTTCTAGCGTAATCGACGATCGAACGAGGAGATGGGTGATGTCTGCAGCGGAACTGCCTGAAAGAAGACAGGTGGCAATTCTCGCTGTCAGGTCTATCATCGAGGAAACATCGGATTTATGTCGAGGGATTGACTGCAAGGAAAGGCGGGTCGTCGAAGTGCAGAGTAGCGTCGTGTTGTTGGGAGACAGAACCCCGTGGGTGGGTACTGCGAAGAGACTGAGCGACCAATCCCAACCCGAAGCAGCAAGCCTGCTTACACTCTTGCCCGGCTGACTCGAGAGGAACGACCACTTGACTGGGAGCCCAGCTCTCGTGCTCCGCCAGTTCTGGTCTGCATGAAGGTTAATCAAAGAACCATTCGGCGAAGAGAGGACTTCGTACAAGCTCAACAGATGCGTCGATCCTATCACGATGCTTCTGTGCTGCGATTTATTAACAGGAATCGGTCCTGACACTTTCAAGAGCCCTGCAAGCAGCCCGGATCCTTGTCCCGTGGGTCCACCCGGATTGAGGACGATGTAAGTCAAGACCGATTCTGAGTAGGAGCGACGGGCACTGAGGATGCAAGTCTGTCTACCCTCAGCATGACAGAACTTGAAGGGACCCTCGTTTGAAGCTCACCCAGTTGCGACTTTCGTCGGCGGACGAACGGGCGAGAGAATGGATAAACAGTTCTGATTTCGGAGCAGCTGCGTCTTGGAGGTGTCCGTAAGCATAAACCTTCGACAGCAGCAAACTGTTCTTACAATCTCCGAAATCCAGATAGCTACTCGCAAGATACAACTTGCTATCATCCATAGGTGAGAAGAACATCAGATGCCTTAGAGACATGCTAGATCCTTCAACAGGCGGGAGGGGAGTCGTTGAAACCGAGATAACTGTTGAATGCATATGCCACAATGTAAAACCAGAACAAAGACGCGAGCGCACGAAAACTGGTAGCTTCAATTTTGACCTCACAGAGTTCAATGGCCGAAGCTTCGCCCCAATTTTGCCATTCCAGAGGAGATTCATACTCTGACGGGGTCAGATCTAAATTCATTGGAAGTTGAAGAGGGTTGGCAGTTCGGTCACCGACGGATGTTGAGGGCAGTACACGAGAACGATAGGCCACCAAGATCGAGGATTCTAAGACCAAATTGACGTAGTAGTGGGAGCCGAAACGGGTCACACTCGCCGTTATAGGCCATGCCTATCGAAGCACCCACACATGTCTTGACAACACCGGTCTTGAAGGAGGGGATTTCAGTTGAATTAGGCCGATCTTCAATTGCAACTGCCGGTTGATTGAGCGTGCAAGTGAGCATTTTCCATTCACGGATGTATGAGCGCAAATAGCACACAGTCACATCGAAAGACTCGGTGACCAGTACGAGAGCTGCTTCAGCCAAGGGCGTGTGCGGTCCACGAAGAGGAAGTCTTCTCGGTACGCCCGACTCATCGCACGACCACTGCGAAGGATTATCAAAGGATTGCCATGGAATACTCGGACAAAGCGCACCTTGCGTGAACCACCCAGCCAGCCAGCAGCGACGATCCCGGCACCAGGACGCAGTGCCCAACATTGCTTAACATTCCAATCGTCAAGAGGCGCAGAACGCTGCCATAAGCACGAGATTCCGTCAGTTTCGCCGACCGCCGGGAAATAAGCGTAAAGCCAGTCTCCTGCAGGGGAATCCGCTATGACACGGGGTGGCTCGAATGACGCCGGAGACGAGACGATGGGTGGAGGAGAGGGGAGAGAAAACTGCTTGGAAGATGAGGAATGACGCGCATTTACTATGGGTTGTGTTGGATGAGCGGAGAAGATTGTAGAAGTGGCTGTCCACACTACAGGTCTGGAGAAAGTCAGAACTTTGACACTGAGGCTGGATGGATATAGACCTTTGAGTCTGTTCGTAGAAATCCCACCACCCCGAAGACCACTGCGGTTCCTCCTTCCCCTTCCCTTTCGAGGTGCTCATGATGGATCAGGTCAAGTTTGTACCTGATTGTTCAGTGTGTGACGCGCATTCCATGAGACCTCATTGAGCTTCATTCTGAACCACGACCAGATCGTATCTTTCCCAATCTTGGATCCCTTTACTAGAGCGTCATGTCTCGTCAAATGTCCGCCGATCTGGAAGGAATCAAGACAGAAATCGTGATCCAGACTTTCTCGGACCGTGTGCTTGTCCTCGTTACTCAGTTGGGAAAAGTGGGGACTTTGGTGGGGATTGAGGGTCGAAATCCGAACTTCCCCTTGACACGACGACTAGATTCAAGCTTCAATTCCGGAAACCATCCCGTTATCGCCTGCCGCTGAGGATTCTTCTCAGCCGAACTCTCTCGCTCTGCCGGAACCCCCTGCAGCGGTTCAGTTGACTCCGTTGTTCGGAAATGCGCCATCGGAACATATACAAACACTTCATTCACTATATGCTGCGCAGATCGCAACCATTGTATGGACATGCGACGGTTCCAGTCCTCTTGATGTGACCCGAAAGAGCGTTATAACTGGAATCGCGCTTCGCAAGAGTCCATCTACAGCGGAACTAGGAGTTACCGAGGCAGAGAGGCGTACCTTCACAGGCGTGATGTCAATGATTATGAAACTGCTGGCGCGCGAATCTCCGAGTTCGCATGACCAAAACCCCAAGTAGCGGATTCCAACTGGCTAGCGCGGCTGTATTCTACCCTCAGTGTTGTACGGACAGTCTACGCGACCAAACGGACCGCTGGTTCGGCAATAAAAACGTACGATTTGGACGAGAGTAACGTGCGCGAAGCCACACTGGAAAAGGTTCTCCTCTATCTTATCACGGCCGATCTCACGTACCGATCAATTGATACAGCTTATCAGGAGCTTAGTCAGAGATTTTCCTGAGTCAATGGAAAGCGAACGTGGGCGATGCGTTTGCCGTTGGAACAATACTCGTAAGGCCGACTCGTCCCACTTCGATCCTTGCCACTTGCCACCACAAGATTACTAGCTTCTCTTCCCTTAACATGGATATCGGTCGATTCCTGGCTCCGCACAGCGCTGAAGCTCGCGCGAATGTTTCTGCTTCGTCCGTTGACCTCGTCCACGTCTCTATCGACCTACCGTCTGACGCGTCGCACGCTTTTGTCTTCAGTGAAAGTCTCGACTGGGATCATATTGACGAAACTGTCATCGCTCTATGTGCCTCTTACCGAAGCTTTGAGGTGTGTTGTATGCTTGGACTGAACCACAGTGGCATCCATGTCTTCCCCAGAAATATCTTTCAGGCGAAGATATTTTCATTCATCCGAGAACAAGACGAGACCTGGAAAGTGTCCTGTATGTGCCTGGATCGCGGTGTCTGGTTGGATGTTTCTTGACTTCTCCCTTTGTTCGCAGTCGCCGTTACAGCACGAACGCCATTCACAACACGATTGCTAAAAGGCAAGCTGACCCCTGCATGGTTGTTCCTCGATCTCGCTGACTTCTCACAAACAATCTCACAGTCGCACGCCGCTCGAACCAGGCGGATACTCGCGAGTATGTGACCTGTCCCTTCTATGTGCTGAGACTGACATCGCTGTCCAGCTCTGCCATCTGGCTTCAGAATCCATTGCGGCCGTTCTTGATAGCGGAGATAACGTAGCCTACCTGCTGAACCTGCACGCCTCAAAAACGGCACCAGGTCACACACAATCAGCATCCACCACCTGACTCCCTGGCTCGGCGCACGTTTCTCCCCAGGCTTCCGTTTTAGTGTGTCACTGTTCATCGTCTCTTGTAGCACCAATCTGTCTCCGCATTTTCCCTCGTACTGTTATCTCCACGCCAGTTCTGACTTTAGCACATATTTGCCGTTGTTATCCATATATCATCACTGATAGACTTGTATCTTTCTCTCCTCCTGTGCCGTGCTCAGTGCCAGGGTCCCGCGTTTCTCTACACTTCACCGCCCGTCATCGGCCATGTTCTTTTCCCCTAGTCTCCTTCTGCTGCTGTGTCTGGATTTGCTAGGGGCACGTGGAGCTCCAACACAAGAACCCTTCCAAGTCCCAAATGTTGCCAGTGCGCGCCCCGCTTCCAGTGCAGACCCGTGCGAAGCCTAACATCGATTTGAGAGCCACGAAAGTTACGCGGCAACTTCCTGCACGTATGCATTCCCTAGGACGCTAGAAAATCCATCAATCACGCTAGTAGATCACCGACATTCATCCCGACCCCGCATACCGCCCGAAGACGTCGGAGGCTACTAGTTGTCACAGAAAGAAGGGCAAGAAAAAGAAGAATGTTTCTGGGTTGTATGGGGTCCCTTATTCGTGCGTCTGAACTTCGTTCAAAGTACGGCTTGACTGAACTCTATCGAGCGAATGCGACTCTCCGTTTTCCTTGATCAACCACACCCTTGATTTCATTGAAAAGAAGGTGTGATATAGACCACATTCCAAACTGATTATGCTCAATCCGATCAGTGGGCTTCTGAGATCGACTTCGTAGTTTGTGCGCTGAGTTCTCTGCCGTCATATCTTGCCCTGCTCACTGCTACCCAGGGACAGGAGATAATGCAAGGTTCGAGACAGTCGGTCGATTGCATCTCGAAGCGCACACTCAGCGCCCCCTTAGACACGACAATGACCGCAAATTGCCCCGCACGCCCAAAGAAATTTATGATCTTAATCGGGGTGTGGCGAGCAAGATGACGTCAATCTTCACTTCGAGGGGGATTCCAGTCATACCGAGCATTGGAAATAATGATGTCTGGCGTAGGTTTTTGTCCGTCTCCAGTCGACTGTTACTGAACATTCCATAGCACATGTGAGAATAATCGACAATGAAGCTGGGCAACGTCTGATTGATTTCAAGAACATCATGCTTCCTGGTCCCAGTAGCACTACAAACGAATTTGCTTCGTAAGTTCTATTCGTTCTTGGCCGAAGCCCTTATCCTCAAGATCTGTAGCATCTGGAAGAACTTTATTCCCTTCCAGTATCTGCAAATATTCCAGCGTGGGGCATACTATGCCGTAGAAGTCGTCCCAGACTCTTTGGCAGTCGTCAGCCTGAATACCATGTATTTCTATCACTCCAACAAAGGTTCGCCATTTGGCTGGAGTGTAATCGGTGTCCTTACCGAGCACAGCCGTGAGTGGTTGCAGTTTCAAGGAGCGAGACGACGCCGGCAACCTTGAATTCGACTGGTTGGAGGTTCAATTGAAAGGATTCAGGACTCGAGGCATGCAGGTGAGTCAATGGAGATTCCTATTGTCATTCGCATCTTCTGAAGCTGCTACAGGTCTGGCTGACAGGTTCGTGTACTGCAGCACATCCCGATTCCTTTCCTTACCCTATGCTCCTTAGGACACGTCCCTCCTTCGATAGACAACTACCACCCTGAATGTGTATGTGCTCGTTCCCTGCTCGCGTCTTCCATGTCTGATCTTTCTGCAGTACGTGCGATACACAGAGCTGGCCCTCAGATTTCAAGATACGATTCTCGGGCATCTGTACGGGGTACGTTCGCCCCGAACCGATCGAGACGGACGCTAATCACTTGCACGCAGCACATGAATGCAGACCATGTAAGTCATTTTGTCTGGTCCCTGCAGAACCTGGCCTCATTCGTGGCCCAGTTCTTCTTTTTGGAAGCGAGCGACTTGTCCATCATCAAACCAGCTGAATCCCAACTATCAGTGGATCTCTTCGACAGCTTAGTCGCCGACTTTGCCAGTATGCCAAAAGCAAAGAAGATGAATCTCGACGATTATGCGGTCATCAACGTGTCTCCCGCAGTCGTACCCAACCCCTATCTTCCCAGTTTCCGCATATTTTCATACAATACGACGGGACCAGTCCAAGATCTTAACGAAATCTTGAAGAAGAAGAAAAAAGAAAAGTCCAGGCATCCTCGGGGAGACGGCAACAAGACCGAGCTTTGCAAAATGGATCAATATCGTGACACCTGGAAATGCCATCTGAACGAGCCCTGGCATTCAGATCCAGATTCTCCTTCCCGGCGAAACCAATTGTGGACGCCGCTTGGCTATGCTCAGGTGCGTCTAGTTCTGTTTGAATTGAGCAGGGACCAAGGCCAGGTTTCCAGTACTACATTCCGCATCTGGAAGAAGCAAACAAGACGCACGCTCCCAAGTTCAAATTGGAATATCTGACATACAAGTCCACGATGATGGCGTCCAACGATTCGTGCCCCGTGCCTCTCAAGAATTTGCCGAAGGAGCTCAAGAAACGTCATACAGCGTACGGAATGAGTGATTTGACAGTGGGTGCTTGGATTGGTCTGGCAAGGAAATTGGGCGAAGGGAAGAGTGAACGTCTTCGTGTTCTGTTCAAGGAGTGGATGTATATGGGGGCGGGCGAGGATAGGGATTGAGAGCGTATATATCCTGGCCGCGTTTTTGTATTGCCGCTGGTCAGGGTCGGACTCTACGATACGTGTAACGACAGACTTGGTCACGAATTCGTCTCGGATTGCTGCAGCTTAGCATGTTGCTCCCATTTCCACTTCAGCAGTTCAAATAGACGATCTTCGCGAGGGATATTGGAGCGTGGGTGGTTTTCGTGCAGGAAATACGCTCCTACGCCTGTTCTGCGTCGGGATAGCACCATCAGCCGGCAGAGAAGTACAAGATGTGTCTTACAGGATCCCCAGACCAAAATCGAGAGACCTGTCAGAGACGCAGGTTCATGACTGAGTAATGGTGAAGAAGCTACGCGCGACGCACCGCGACAAGAGAATGGGAGCCATGAAGGGACCGTGACACTATTTGCACTTGAATACCGATCCGTTTGATGCGTCTTCGGGCGTCTCCGCCACTGACGTGCCACACCACTCGAGACGTGATCGTGACGCGCGCACCCACGC